TTCATCTTAATTGCCTAGCTGTTCACATGAGGATATAGTAACACAGTTCTCAAAGGAATTTGAAAAATGACGTACCAAAGTATTATAAATAACCCATTCCATCTATTCTTCAAAGTTTTCAATATTTAAGCAGAAATTAATAGAAAATAAATATGCATCTAAAACCTTTTTTTGAGTTTGGATCTTAGAACACCTTGATTTTAGAGGTTTAATTTTAACAGTATTATTATCAGTGGTTGTGGGATCACAAAAGCATGTTTGGAGCCACAGAAACGAGGTATTAAGGCAGCCTTACTACTGAAGAACATTCTTTTTCTAAGGCTGATGTCTTCATTCCAGAAACAAATGCATGTATTTTTACAAAGAATATGTTTACTTTCAGTTATCTGAGTTTTACATTTTAGTGTCACTGTTGGCCAGCAAGGTGATGACATAACTGCTGATCAGTCTAAATCTGGCTGATTCTAATCAATGGAAAAATAAATGTTTTTGGCAAGTCCAGACATCATCCAAACAGGACAAAGTGTTTACTTTGAAACCATTGCCCTCTGGAGGGAGAATAAAAAATCACAGAAGGATTAGGTAAAAATTCCCCTTTATGTCACTGTGTAGCTGAACAGAAGTTTTACCTATGCAAAAAGGAATGCTCTTTCAAAAGCCCACAGAGTCCACAGTGCCTTTGCCAGTGAGGGCTGGAGGAGAACTAATCCCCATCTGTCTTCCCCATTACTCTCCTCCCCTTTATCTCTAAACTCTTTATCACTAAACTCACTGAACAACTATTGTACAACAGATGTACTTTCTCTTCCAACTTCATCTTGTATTCCTTCCAAGTCGGTGTCATCCCTTTTTTATCTGCCAAAATAATTCTTTTTTCTGCAATCTCTAAAGAATTCTTGCCTTCCTGATATCAGTCTGTATCCCATCTTCTTTCTTAACCTTTTCTTAACCCATTTTTCTTAACCTTTCTCTGGCTTTTGTTGTTATCTTAACACCCTTCTTGATCTTTTATTCTTGCAAAGTTTTGAGAAATTGTCTTATTTTTTTCTCTCTGATTTTATGCGTGGTATCTATTTAAATAGGCTGATTTCCTTCTGTCTCTGGGACCTTCACAGGAATTTTTCCTTTGGCTTTTAGGTATTGAGTGTCTGTGTCTTGGATAATCACATTTAAATGTCACTTTTAACAGAATGTGAATGAAAGTGAGCTGCTTCCTGCTCAAACTTATCCCTGTGTTGTAGGAGAAATAACAATATCCTTTCTATTTTGATTTATAACTATATGATATCTATCTCCTGACTACAAATCTATCGGTTGTTGTAAATAGGACACATAAATACCATAATTCCAGAATCAGGACTTGGAAAGGACCTCTGGAGATCAGCTAGTCCAGATGAACCAGTCATCTGAAAGAATGTAATACCAGTACTAGTCTACCTACAGGGCTAGCAGTGCCCACTGTCTAGTGTTTCAAAGAAGCATGCAAAATTCAGAAGTCCAGGAGCTAGGTTATTTATCTGGCAAGAAAAAAAATGTCTTGGCCTCAATGACATATCAACAGAAACCCTGAATTTCAAAATTAATACAGCAAACCAATGTTCTTTCAGCTTTCTTTGAATTTGGACAGCAAATATGAAGGATTAAAATATGGTCATGCTCTGATCCTTGATAATATCTAGAACTATTCCTTCCTTTCTATCCAGTGACTGCATTTTGCATTCATGTTCATCTGGTGGCTGAAATATTTTCCTTTCTGGCTTCTCTTGTCCTCTGTTACTTCTTAATCCTTCAGATCCAAAATTGCACATGAAGTCTCAATATTTACAAATGAGGTCACAAACCTAACAGCAGCTCACCAGTAAAAATATGTTAATATCCAGAAGAGAAGTCTTAAGTCTGACAAGTGTTACTCGTGTCTTACTGAGGGGTCTTAAACACTGATACAGGAACCATACCCAGAAGATGGGTAAAGCTGGAAGTGGAGTTGTTGATGGAATGGCTTGGGGCACAGTGTTTAATCCAGAAAGATAATAGATGATAAAAATAATATTTTTTAGGCATCATTTTACCTTTCCCTATTGAGTTATATTCAAATAAATGTTTACCTCATCTATCTGTTTCTTTATATCTATTTGCTGCTTCTAGATCTTCCAACTGTAGTTTCTGCTCTTCTTTGCAATTTACTTTTATACTTGTCTAACTTTTTGATATTATTTCAGCCATCAGTGTGCCTTCCTCTGCACAGCTGTCCATTGTCAAATTGATCTAGAATTAATCTGTAAGGATCCAAAGTAAACTGATGCATCTCTGGAAAACTGTCTCCTGCTTTGCCATTAGTACCAGTTACTAATTTGAATTAAAATCCACTTTGTTCTTCCCCATTTTCCCTTTTTGAGGCTGGATGCATTTTAAAGTCCAAAGTCAAGACAGGATTTTACTCAGAATTTAGTGTGAACCTGCCTTGGTGTGAACGTGCACATACCTTTTGCTGAGTTTGTCTGGCAGTTTGATTACTTTTTTTAATCTGTTATTAAGAGCAAAAGCTATTTTTTCACATCTACTTTTTTACCCTGTGGAGCTTCTTATAAAACCTTTGCAAAGAAATAAAAAACTAGGAAATAACTGAGATTGATTGCAAAATATGGGAGGAATCAACTAAAGTTTAAATGGTTGAAAGCACTTGTCCTGATTTGATCTGACACAGTTGTTTTTGTTTGTAGAGGCTTGTCTGGTGATGTGTTTCAGATACTTGATGAAAATGAATCAGTGACTTAGCTGATACTGAGCTGTGCTTACACAGGGCCAAGAGCTTTTCAGCTTCTCATGCAGCCTTGCCAGGAGAGGTTGAGAGTGTGCAAGGAGCTTGATGGGGTCGTGGCCAGGACTGCTGACCTCAATGACCAATCCCTATATTCCGTACGATATGGCGTATGCTCAGTATTAAAAGCTGGGAGGAAAGAAAGAAAGGCGTTACATGTGGAGTGGTAGTATTTCTCTTTCTAAGAAACTATTACATGGGATGAGCACTGCTTCCCTAGAAATCAGTGAATATCTGCTTGCAAATGGGAAGTGGCAAATTAATTCTGTGTTTTGCTTTGCTAACACATACAACTTCTGCTTCACCTAGCAGACTGTCTTTACCTCAACCCACAGGTTCTTGTATTTTCTGATTCTCTCCCCTTCCCAGTGTGGATAGAGTGAGCAAGTGGCTGTGTGGTGCTGAGCTGCCTTCCAGAGTTAAACCTAACTGCCTAAGAAAAATACTTAAGCAGTAAATCCTAATGAATGAAGATATTTGTGGTGCCTAGGTGAGGTCACCTTTCCTGAAAGGTAGCTTAATGGTAGTAATTATGTTAATGATGGTACCCACCTACGTGATAATGCTACATTATAAGCTTAAGCTTTATGTATTTATTAGTCAAAAGTAAGTCACTGTAGTATATTGTTTACATACTGCATGAACAAAAAAATGCAGCAAATATTTTTCCTGAGAGTAAATTAGATATACAGCAGGACAGCTGTAAGGCATACATAACCAGCCCCATAATTCTACTTCTTGCTCCCTTTTTCTAAATCTTCACCAAAATAATCTTCCACGCTACATTGTTAATATTATATTATCAATCTTGTTTGCTGTAGGAGTTCTGCTTGTGCTTATCTGCTATACTTTAATTAAGTACAACAAACAAAAAAAATAGTGGGTATTCTGTAGTGTATCCACGTGGCTGCCTGAATTTTTATGAGGGAGAATCACTTCCAGAACTACTGTTTTTAAAACTTTCATTTGATTATTACCCCAGCTATTGAGCTTGCTTCCAAAAGATTATGAACAACACGTGCAGCAGCTAACTACCAGTCAGCATGTCTGTTGTTTCTCAGCTTCTAAAGCAATCATTAGTATCCTTTTTAATTGAACCCTAAACATCTGCATAACTGCTAAGTTATACTGGAATTTTTCTGAAACTAAAATTAGAAGAGACTTTTTTTATTTTTGAGAAATATGCTAGTAGGAAATAATGTGCTCTATGTATGACCCTAAAATTGATAGATAATAACATATATACCTTGAAACCCATCCATACTGATAATAAATAATGATATTGATCTCGATATGAAGAATTAGTCCAGTTTAAAGCTATTTGGGTCTGTGAGCACACATCATTTTATAACATTTTTCTAGCATTTTTATAGCTATTTTTATAGCATTTCCCTGTAGTCCTCACATGTACTTCATTGCCTGTCAATTAACTAGCACTTGCTGAGAACTGCTGCTTTGAAGCCAAAAAGTGTAATAACTCATGAAGTTTTGGTTTCTTAATTTTTCTGTCCACTCAACTGCACGATGTACTAACATTAAGAAACCCAGTCTCAGACAAGAATCCTTAACTTCTGAGATTAATCTGGACATCTGGGTTGCTGTTGGGTGAATACTGTCAGAAAAAAAATCCTTCACACATACCTCAGTAACATATGCGTAAATCTAGAGTGTTGTGTCACAGAGGAAATAAAGGTATGGCATCCAGTTCCTCTGTAGATATCCATGTTGATCTCAGCGTAATGTTTTCTACACAGATATAAGATGACAATAGATTTTCATTCCTTCTTCTTTGGCAGCAGGGGCATTTTTCAGATGCTTGATTTGTGAAAATTTGGACAGCACCAAAATATACTTATCATCTGTTGCCATAAACAAAGCCTTAATTACCTTTCTGGAGATAGCAATAGCAGCTACATAGTCATCTCTAAGGAAGGAAGACATTGTTTTCAAACTGACAGAAATAAATCATTTCCACACAGCTATGTGGACTGCCCTCACTATTCTTGGATAAATCTGTGGGCTGCAGTGTAAACTCTATACCATTCTCGAGAATCTGCATCTTGACAGAAAGTTGCAGAGGAAATAAAAGTCATTCAAACTGAAAACTGTTTTGGAACATATTACATTAATACCACTTTATTTTGCTCTATTTCCTAAGAAGTGTAGTCAAACATATTACGCTTCATAGCTCTACTGCTTGCAGGATCTTCAATGACTGTCATTCACCCAGCAGTTATTTTTCTTTCAGAGGAGCTGATAGCCTGCATTGGCATCTTGAGCCAATACTGCATACCAATCTTATGAATCAGCTCAGTGTAAGACTGTTTTGGTATGTAACACAGCAAGCATCCGTAATGATTTATTTTTCCTTGCTTCAGGTTCGGTGATCAATAGTATATTTTTATTGCATATGCTATGCAACAATTCAACCATCTTCCCAACCATCTGGAAAAGCTGATACTCTGAAGTTACACATTTGTTACAGCAATCAGTTTTGCTCAGCACTGATTGAGAGCACTTTAGATTGTGTTCCAGTGAACTGAGGAACATTTGCATGTTGCAGCAATCCTCTGTGCCCCTTCAAGGTATATCAGAGTTACCACAGTTTAGGATACAAGAGTGAATGTTTCTGGTAGTACAGTAAGTTGTTCTGAGACTGATCTTGGTTTTTGCAGATAAAGGACTGTATCTGTGTCTTCAGTCAGCAAAGAGAAATACAATGCAGCATATCTTGATATGAAGTATCATAGATATTACTTCTGTGCTAGTTAAAAAAATTGTTTCACAGACTTTTTGAATGCAGTACACTTTATTTAAAAGTATTCAAAATGCATTATCATTAGTTTTCCAGTGATCCATAGTTTTCATTTTCACTTCCTCACTTGTGTAAAGTCAATGACAGTAAGCATCTGCAGCCAGTCTCTCTACAAGCCTTAGTGAAATTACTGTTACTGATTGTTGTTCTTGCAGTGTTTTGTTTGTTCATGTAGTTGACAACAGCACATCATAAACCACGTATCATGTAACTCACTGTCCCTCAAACAGAAAATATGCTGTACAAACATTTTCTCAGGGACCACCGAAAGATTTCTTCCTGTCAATAAATGCAGCTATGTTCTTTTGATAAATAAAACATGGAAAGTTCTTCTGCCGTGGAAAATAGCTCTGGAGTCTCCAAGTACACTGAATGGTATTACAGTCTTGTTCATGTTTTGGTGATATCTAGAATTTGAATTTACTACCACTTGCTTATAATGGCATCATAGATTGGAATCTATTTACAGGCAGGCTGCATCAAAGAGTATTCAATTAATTTATTTTCTCAAGGAACATTAGATTGGCATTTGTCTTCTCTGAATCTATGAATTATGTATATCCTCTGTGCTCACTTGCAGAAAAGCCTACTGAGTCTTCCCTCTCCTGTAATCATGCTTGGCTATGATTACAGTGCTTCAAAATTTCATTAAAATACTTCATATGCTTAAAACTACACAGAAACCCAACGCCAGGTACAAAAGTAGTAGTGGGGAATGTGTATACAGAGTGGGTATCAGAGAATTTAGTTGGTTTTTGGGTAACTATCTGTTGTTGCCTCAATTGGTAAATGTAGTAGAGCTTCAGATGCTTTTTTGTATGGTGGGCAGAGAAATGGAAGACAGCTACATCAGCTTGCACAGCTGTACAAAAGGTTCTTGAACTAACGGTGATCTACTCACATTAATCTAGAAGTTCATAACATTCTGTATTAGTGTGATTTTGCATTCCTAGCATAGTATTGTTCACTATCACTTGTCTTCTTGCAATGCTTTGAAAATTGCTTTCCCAGTGCTGCATAAATGTGTAAGCCATACTCAAGCATTAATTCAATGTCAATTTCTTTGCCTTCTGCTGCATGTTACAAAGTCTTCTCCCTGAAAAATGGCCTCAGTCACTGATAAAATGTCAAGGAACAAAATATATTTGTTACTGCTAGTTGTGAATTAAATACAGAGAAATATAGAGTTTTTGTTTCAGCAGTAAATTGTAGAACTGAAGACTGCAGCATCGGGTTTTTTTTTTATTCTGTATGTGTCTGGCCCCTGTTTTAAAAGCATCTGATGACAGGATGCTTTGCTTTATTTTCTATTATTCCTTCTCACTGACAAATCATCTGAAGTATAATTTGAAGCAGCCTATGCTTGACTTACTGCCACTCTTTCGATTTCCTGAAAAAAAAAAAGCAAACCAAAACCACAATGAGGACAAGCTCAGAACAGTGCAGGAAAAGAAGCTGGAGTCAAAAGTAAGAAAAGGATGGAGAAGATGAACATACACCAAGAACCACAGAAGAAGGAACCAGAGGCAACTGATTTTCAGACTTTTCTGATTACTTCTCTATTCAGTTTACAAATAGTGGGGGAGTTTACTAGCATTTCTGCCCTGTGTTCCAAACTGGCCTTTTCTGTTTCTCCCATGCTATTCCCCTTCAGTTGCTCCTAAAAACTACTTCTCGCCTACTCATCTCTAAGCAGAAATAATCTCTAGTCTTTGCTGAACACCTGAGAGGCATAAAAAGTCTGTGCATAGCTAGTATCAGTTGAGATGATATAGGCATAGCTCTCAGCTGGCTGGGGATGTGTGAAGATCATTTCTGTTCACTACTGAAAGCTGATCAGCAAGCTGAGAAGTGAACGGAGACTGCAGGTTGGTAAGCTTAGGGGAGCAGATGCTGCCTTTGCCTCAATGGGGCAAATCCAGAAGCAAGTAATAGAATGCATACCAGCAGAAGTATGGTCAGCAGATGAAGAAAAAGAGAAGAGACAAGTGCACAGTGGAAGAATTACATATTTGGAGGAAGGTAGAGTTTAAAATGAGGAAAAGACATAGAACAGGATTTGAGAAATGTGGAAGGTGAGAGAAAGGATAATCCAAAACTAGAGAAAAGAATAGAAATCAGAGGAAAGATGAAAAGACATGAGTGACTGAGGAAAGGAACAATTAGACACGGGGGAGGAGTGACTTAAAAAAAAGGACTGTTACGAAAAGAAAAGAGAGAACAATGGGAAATGTTCTTAGCCAGGTGAAGGAATTGCAAGCAGCCCACAGCTAAAAAGAGAAGCATGCAGTAGCATCATGTTCACAAAAAGTGAGGTTGATTGGACAAAAGATATCATTTAATCTTTCATAACTTAGTAAAATGGAAAAGCTGTGTAGTAAGCCTGTGAAAGCTGTTGTTCAAGAGACTGATTCACTCGTATGCAGAATGACCAGTGAGCTTAGAGACAAGGTGTGGGGGGCATCAGCAAACTAAGAGCATCAGTCTTTGTTATTTCTTGGCAGGCATAGGTAACAGTGCATAATCGCTGATAAGAAACTGGGGATTGTGAATATGGCAAGTGGTGAACAGTAAGAAAAGACTGTCTGTGAGATGCCTGTGTGCTGTAGCTGAATGTTCTGTAGAGATTTATGCAGAAATGCAGAATGCCAAGAAGGACACTAATGCTAATCTCAGTATGGTGTTGAAAAGGTTACTCCAAAATAGGTCCACATCTTGCCAGGAACACACATTCATGGTTGAGGGTACTGCAGACACACTGCCTGGAAGCAAATTTATGCTCTACCAGGGATTTTTGGGAAGCCTTATGACACGTTGGAAGAGGAAATAGGGGCCAATATCGTCTCTCTATAGCATAGAGCTTTCTTATCCTTCTCATTGGAGTGTATTTCACCTGATTTTTCAGTGATGTCAAGTGTCAAGGCTTTTCTAAAAGAAACCTGGCACTGAACCCTGCAAGGTGAGGTGTGTTCAGAACAGGGGTGTAGCAAAGAGTACTTTCTAAAAATATTATTTCACTTTTATACAAATATTAATCTACTGGCAATACAAATGTAGAAAAAAATTGTTCTAAACAGCTCCCAGCTCATGAAGTTTAAGCTTCCCTCATCTATTATTGAAGTAGGAATAACACTGGGGAAATGGCCAAATATTAGAAAACCCATCATACCTGAAGGTTGCGGTGTTTTCTCTTTTTTTGGCTTCATTTTGTCTGTCCTAAAAATAAATAAATAAAAAGTTCAGGAAAAAACACAACGCTGTTGTAGACAACCAAGGGGATAACACTATTGCCAACAAACCCACGAAAGCAAACTAACAAAAAAGACAACAACAAAATTTACCTTAACAATCTTGTTATGTACCAGTATTAAATAGATGCTATTTTAAACTCTTTCTGTCTGCAGTAGGAATATCTATTGCTAAATGATGTGGTAAGGCTTGCTTTGAAGCGAAGGCACATGGAAACTGTCTTTCAAAAGAACCTGAACAGCTGAGAAGCCAGAGTATGGCTAATTGGAAACCCCACCCAATATTCTTCAGCTTCCTAGCACATTTAAGACATCAGGAGAATTGCAGTCTGAAAAGGTGTTATTATATTATTAAATTATATATTTTCCAAAAAAAAAAAAAATTTTCAACACATTTTAATTTCAAAGTTCAGCATTGAAAACCAAGTATACCAGAATCATTTCTCAACCATATTTACCTGCTCTTCCTTCTCTCTTTGCTTTTGCTGTTTATTGTATCCAGAGGATCTTTACTCTTTGATTGCATGGTGGTTTCTAGCCTGGTTGCTTCCTGGGAGCTGTTGAAAGTTGCCCTTTCCTTTTCACTTTTTTCGGTGGAACCCACACTATCTGAGTAGAGAACTTGATTGGAGGAGGTTTGTTCAGTAACAGTTTCTTCCTCTGTTTTGGGGTTAGGCACGTTTTGTGAGTTGTTGCTCTAGACAGAAAAATGAAAGTTAAACAGATACGGTTGCAACAGACATTAAAAATGCTTCACACATCACTGATCAACACAACTGAAACTTGATGATAATTTCCTGTATGCCAGTCTGTTATATATGAACTATTCAGCAAATAGCTGCCTTCTACCAGTCTGGCTGTCCACTGTAGCATTTGCTTTCAAGAATTTTCTTTTTCTGTCCTTTAAATAGATCAAATGTACTTGCCCTCTTTGCTTATTCGTTATCAGCATACCAGCATTTGTTATAAGTCTCATCTGTGCCGTGTCTTTCCTTTTCTGCTTTTTTTCCAACTATTTGTGGAATTGAGTCCCAAAAATTCATTTAAGAGAATACCCATAACTGCAAGGAAAAACTAAACACTGAACATTTTATAGTATAGCATTTGTAGATCATTACAGTTTTATCAGGGCTAGGGTGCACTCAGTGTTTTCACTCCTTTTACCCTGATCTTTTGCAGGGGGTTTACAACAAGCCAGCTATTTTGATAAACAGAATAGATCCTTCAAAACATATGAAAGGTTTGGCTTCAGAGAGACAGTACCGATTACACTGATAGATACTATATAGAACACTGATAGAAACTATACTCTCTAATCGTTCAGCTTGAAGATTTGATATCTGTTTGCCAAAGACTTACATTGTCTGGTGACTTGTTGGGGCTGGGAGCTTTCTCATGACTCATGCCAGAATCCTTACATATTATGTTGACATTGGTATTGCTAGTATCTTTTGGACGTCTCAGGAGAGAGATTAGCTTCAACCAGTGGTGGAATAGTTGCTGTTGTTGGTCTGGTGGAGCACAGAGCTCTAGATAATAGGAACGGCCATTTACTAATTTTAACATGAGCTGTTTCTTATCTGTGCTGTGAACAGAGAGTTCTACAAACTTCAAGGGCAAGAACCTGAAAAAAACAAAAAGATATTATGTCATCAGACTTGAAGATAGAATTAGACTACAACTGAGAAACTGGAATAGGGAAAAGAAAGGTGCTGAGTAGATTTGGACACTCCTCTTTGAGTGACACTGTCTTTGGAAGAAATGCTGAGCAGCAGTGCACAGAATGGAGACAAAGAATGTCAGCTTCTTTCCAATGCCTTTATTCCACTGCCTTTTTCCTTGACAAACCTGCACCTCCAATCTTTTCACCAGTTTTCTGCTTCTGATATGTTTTTGTTTTTTTTAAAACTTACTAGGTATTTTCCAGTCGTTTTCCATCTGTGTATATGTATATGGGTAGCACTGGCCTAAAACGATGACCAGAGTGAGGCCTAAATTTGTGTCTTTAAATTTCAGTGATACTCCTGACTTCACTGTGTTAATGCTGGAAGAAAGTGCAAATGTGAGATCTGTTCATAATCTGATTATTAAAAGAAGGAAAACCATATGGAAGGGGGAAGCTCTTCAAGGACTTATTTAACCCTTTTCAATGCTCACTCACCTGCTAAGTGTTAGCTGTTCCACTTGAGATGGATTCTCTGAGAATTTCTGGAGATTTGCCATTATTTCCTGTGGGGACACAGGCACCTTGTGTGCTAGCAGCATTCCACTGGGCATTGGTGAACGGGCAGCACAGATGCCGATGGTCACGCAGGTCGGTCGATTGTGAAGATTAATCAGTTCCCCTCTTTGGTTAATCTGAACAACAACAAAAAAACAACACTCTCAGAGAATATATTTCAAAGATATTTCACAGTGATTCAGCCTGGGATTCCTAGGGCTTATGTAATGAAATGGTGAGGAGAGAAGGGAACATGGAATAATGAAATGGGTATATATATGAGTGAAAACAGAGGAAGAAATTTGAATCAGGATAAAGAAGGATCACTGATTATTTTGTAGTCTCCATCATTAGGTATTTGACTGCTGAGGTAAGAAAAGACTTCTGGGCTACTATGTCAAGTTAATTTTATTGTACACATGATGAAGAGACACTCTGTTCTGATGACTCAATGTCTGTCAGAATTACTGCGATGTTAATGAGACCTCACTTTGAGCCAGGATCTTGATAGATGATGTAAAAGTACAGGATGGAAAAAGATTACAGATAACTTACGTGAAAGACACAAAATGACAGAAAAAAGAAATGAGAAAATTCTAAGAAAAAAATTTATATGCATGCTCAAATCACTTGGTATCTACCATTGTCAGAATTGGCTTTTGGTAGACATCAGAGAAAAAACTATTCTAAGAAGAAATTTGAGGGATAACAGTGTATTAAATTAGTGGATATCTAGTAGAAGATCTTTCCAAGTGTAAGACATGGAATATGAAAAAATAGATCAAAGGCTATTATTTTTTAAATCTAGTGGGAATAAGTCAGTGATGAAGCTGTTTTCACAGGCTGTTTGTTTAAGGCAACAGCCTCCTAGAGAATAAATTGGGTCTGATAAATAAAGCAGGGATCAATCAAATACCATGAAAATAGAGACTTGCAGCTAATTAGCATTCTGCACGTGTACCAACAATGCAAGATTCAGTTAATCAAGGCAAGAACAAAGGATGTTGCAGTTATCACAGTGAGGTGATGAAACCCTATTAAAAAGCTCTGTTGATGTACATTTTACAAGTAGAACTCACGTGTTTTAGATACACTGTGAATGTAATATTGTAGACTTGCAGACTGTTGCCAAGGTCATGAAGGGTTCTGTCGCCAGTAAAGGATACTGAAAGGACAGAGGTAGTAATAGGAAGATTACTGAGGAAGGTTGACAGCTCTTTAGGGTAGGTTGAACTAAATTTGATGGCTAAACAACCTTAACGAGCTAGCGCAAAACTAGAAAATTTTGTAGAAAACTAGAAAATAACACTGTCCTACTGGAAAAAGCAGGGACTGACAAAGAAGAATGAAAACATCATTCTTGGACATCATCTAATTTTCAGCATAGTTGTTGCTGAGATTCTAGACCATGAGACTGTATGAGAAGAGAAACATTATATCCTTGTCTTTATTTTTGTTCTAAATGAGAATATGTGCGGTGGGAGTAAATGAATGAAGAGAAACTGTTCAGAAGAGGAAGGAAAGAAAAAAGTAATTTATTTCATCAATTTTACATTGATGCTTGATATTTCATCAAATTTACATTGAGCATGCAAAACAAAAAATCATTTAAATTATTTTTACCTGAATAAACCTGCTTTCAAGCATGGGAGCAGAGCCAAAAAAAGCATATTCTCCTTGGTTAAGAAGTCTCTTGAGGTCACCCATGATGGATTTCTTACTTGATATAATCTAGAGTCAAACTCACTACTTATTTCGCCTGTCCACAAAACAAAAATAAATATACATGTTAAAAAGAAAAAGGAAAATAGGAAAGTTTATAAATTGGGATTGTAAAAATAAATAAATACAGCATTTTATTATACTACAAAACTCAGAACATTTCCCCAACACACATTTTTATGACCATGCAATTTTAAGTGCAAAGGGAAAAAAACTTAATAGGGCTTTTTTCACAGTTCTATACCTTTTTTTTTTAACCTTTTTTTCTCATTTTTTTTTCCCCCAACGTGAATATAGCAACATATTTTGTAAATGACAGAAGTCTTTGAGCTGTTCTCAGTGGTGGTTTGGAATGGTGACTTCTATCTTTGTGTCTCATGGATCTCTTATGTGTTTATTGGGAGTCAATAATATAGAGATGAGTGAAGTTAAAATTCTCCAGCAGTTAACTGAATGAACTCTGTGGACATAATAGCTTCACAAGCTGTTGGGGCTAGGGAAAAGTCAAGGTTATTCATTAATTACATTTTCTAAATCTTTATTGGAGAGTTAACAATCTATTATCCCAAGTAGATACCAAAGTCAAATGATTTGTTGAAGACTGCACAGTATGTAACAGAATGTCAGTAAGAACAGAAAATCCCTAGTCTGTATTTTTGGGAAAAAAAACCACAAAAAACAAAAAACCCACAAAAACAGATGTAGTAGGCTTCTACTTCCCTTCCATACCTTGTTTCACTCACAGAAATCCATTGCTTAGCTAGAGGAATATACCTACAGAAAGAGAGGACAAGAGTACACTAATCCCTTCTGCAGAGCCCAGTGGAATTCTCTCAGCACTAGAAACCCATCATTGGTGGCATCATAATGCATCACTAGGTTTGTGTTCTCAACGGTCCTGGAAGCAATTATGTTTATTGGTTAAGTAAGGGCGTAGTGATAACTATGCCTGTATTTCCTTGTAACACAAACACACTATTTAGGTACTCCTGCTCCAGCAAGGGGATTCGACTAGATGATCTTTCAAGGTCCCTTCCAATCCCTGTCATTCTGTGATGCTGTGATTCTGTGATATCATCACAGATTTTTGCACTGATACAGTCCTCTCAGAGCTGGCTACTAGGGAAGAACAAGACAAAACCTGTGACAGATGATGAGCTCAGAACCGTGTCTAACCTTAGCAGAAATATTATTGTCAACAGCTAGGGCAATCTTTCAAACCTACAGGATTCAAAAAGAATAAACTGAATAGGATTGGTGATAAAAGGACCCAGTAGCAGACCCAAGCAAGACCAGGCAAAATGAGATCAGACAAGGTGAGGAATGAAATCCCAAGTCCATCTTAGGTCTCCATCCTGGGATTCAAGACAGCAGCAAGAACAAGAGGAAATAAAGCAAGAGATAGGACTGTAATACGTGCTCAAGGACATCTGTTCTAGAGTCAGGAATAGAGACAAACACACCCATAACCCAGCTCAGAGGAGGAGCAGGGACACAGACCAAAGCTTCCCTGCAGCTCCCAGATGAGAGGTGGTGGTGTGTGAGAGAGGAGGGGCAGGATGAAGTGGAGGTAGCAGGTGAGGCTGGTCAGAGCAGTTAAAGTCTGTTGGTGCACTCTGGAACCTGGCACAGGCCCAGGATGTTAATGAGCCAGTTTAAAGTTGTATGGATATTCAGATGTTTTACTCTTGTTTGTAGGTTTCAGCTTCTCTAACCTTTCGTTACAATCAGCTCTTGATGTGAACTTTTTTTTTTCCCCACCCTAATGTGATAACACCTGTTTCAACTGAGTCTGGTGCTTTGACAGGGTTTTGGTCATGAGTAATTACCAGGCTGGCTGAAGGAATATTGATATTGCAAAACAGGAATTATGTTGTCTGACAGTTTGAAGATCTATTGTGTATTGCAGTCTTTGTGTAGGTACACATTTGCTGTTTCCTTAAGTAAAAGCCCCCAAGACAGTTTGTCTGATTGTACTATGCACTAACACAGCAGCGTCCAGCAAAAATGTTTTTTGTTCTCTCCACTGCACAACTTCAATCCAGTGTTAAAGTCAATTATGCTTTTCTTTCCCAGGTGGATTTTAGTTGTGTAGTAGACATAGACACAGATAAATAGTGTTGGTATATCAACAGCAACAAGAAGAAATAGTTTTTCCAGAACTGAATTACTTTTTTCTCTTTAGCCAATGGAAAGGTAATTCTAAACATCACAACAAGTGAGCAACAGAGCTGGAGGAGACTGACTCAGCAGACAAATGGTCATAGTGCTTACCTGAACCAGAGAAGCTGCAAGTCCCGTCCACCCTCCCAAGTACATGTGTACACTTAGCTAGCTCTTTTCTGGAATGCAGAGTATAAGCACTATGAGAGTCAGAGCTAAGACTGTGTTAGGAAGCAGTAGAGTAATTCCTTAGCCATTGGGCGATTGGCTATTGCAAATGGTGTTGCTATTTTTCAGGACAAATTCTGTATAGTTTTTGGGAGAGTGAGGTGTGGGGTGAAAAGCTTCTGCAACTCTGTGCCGCTGGCTCCCAACAGTAAGCTCCAGCATACATACCCAGCCTGCCCTGTAGCTGGCTCTTGGATCCCAGTCTCTCAAGTTGATTGGCACATGGACATATGAGACCCTGAGGCTGTAGCCCCTCCTCTGTTGGTTCATACTCCTCACTCATGCCCATACACCCACACCTCTCACTTGCCCTACAGACCCCATGATCTCTCTAGGAGCCACCTGGGACTCCTCTGCTCCCTCAGTAGCTCCCTCCTGGCATGGTTTCATTCCTTATTCACCCAGGAAAAGAAATTACATTAAGTAAGACACGGCAGAGTGTGGACAAGGCACAGGGCATGGCCAGACAAGTGTATCTGTTTGTACTTGGCGGGTTTATTTATTCCTTCATCTGTTCCTCCTCAAAAATTGCTACACCAATTCCTTTCACCACCTCCGGTTCCTCCCCAAAACACATAAAAAATCTTGTGCAATCCTAAAATGCTCTCCACTTCTTCCTGTAAGGTGTTCTAGCTTCCAGGTAGTCTGAAGAGTGATCATAGGAGCCCTTCCATTACCTCATATTGATGGTTTTCACACCTGGACAAGCCCTCCTGTGACATCCCTTAATTTGCGTTCCCACCTGCCCTCATGTCCCTGTGCTCCTCTAGACTTGAGAAAATGAGTTGTTTAAAGCCAAAGGTTCCTGCGATGGGCCTGGGAGTAGCTGAGGCAGTGTGTTATTTGGATTGTTTTATGTGCCATTTCTGTTCTCTTTTGGATTTGTGATTTCCATCATACATCCTAATAAAGGACTTCTATTTTCATTATTTTACTTCCATCCAATACCATCCACCACCTCTAAGAAAAACTCCAGCTGATGGAGGAAGCTGCAGCACGATTTCCTACCAACACAGCCTGCCAAAAGCATACTAAATCCTGTCTTCTGCTTTGTTCAGTGGCTTTTTATAGCACATTGGGAAAATTGATTGGGTTTGGCCAGTAGGATATAAATTATGGAAAGCCACTCATGGATGTACACTGCCAACTAACCTTGTATTTAACTGACTTCAAACAGCATTGCATCTGTTTGAGCCTCTTTCTCTCTTCTGAAAGGCTGATGAGTGAGTCCCACTCAGGTCATTTTTATTCTCTCTATTCAATGCCTTTTGTGATGATCAACTACCTAGTATTTGCTTAAAGGGCTGTGCTTTCAGAAAGGCACAGTACACCACAACCAACTGCTCCTGTTTGCTCTTCTGCAAGTTCCTGTGTGTGAATCCCTCTGAGCACAGCATGCTTACTGACCAACGGGCTCTGCAGAGCCACATCCCAGGAGATTTCCCAGCAGTACTTACTGTGGAGCTACATGTTGCAGGAACTTCGTACAAAGACAGGACAGATATAGCAAAAATATTAAGCCCCATTTTTTATTTTGCAGCTTCTTCATATATGGACGAGGGTAGTCTTGCCTCAGGTGGAATTTATCAGGTCAGTTGGCAGTTCTCCAGAGTAATGTGACAGCATCCTTAACTGGAGCATAGAGGCGGTCATACCAGTGGGCAGTCCAGGTGGTAATAAACCACAGTAAAAGAGCAGGCATAATAAGGAAAAGCAACAATATTATAGCACAGCTACCAAATCACCAAAGCAGGGCTTTTCATACTGGATAGTGAATAATTGATACTGGATCTGTGATAATTGATGTTATCTCTGTTGTCTGGCACCTCAGAATATCCTCAGGATTTTGGCAAAGGCTTTGATATTGGCAGCATGGTAGCTGCTTGTGTTTGTATTGCTTGTACATGCTCCAGGTAACATGTATGCTTATAGGTGTCCTTTTGTCAAGATGCTGCTTGCTGAAAGTTTTCCTGAGCTCCCTATCTTCCATGAAAGAGAAAAGGTCAGGAAGTAACAAATATGGATTGAAATACCTCCTGTCCTACTTGTACTCTTGTGGTGCAGAACTTCCTGAGAGAAGTAGTGTAGAAGATTTCAGCTAATAAAGATATTTAAAAATATATTAAAATATATTAGAAAAGGTGAACTGAAAGAGACTGCTGACAATATTAACGTGTTTGCAGTGTTGAAGACAAAGACAGCTACAAAGAACTGCAGATGCATTGCTCAAGACTGATTGGAAGTGTGTTGAAATAGTTGAGGTTATCAACACAGACAAAAGTAAAATGATGCATGTGAAGAAGATGTTTTCCTTAGCTATCATCTACAATTACTTTTTTCTAGGCTAACCACATCTAATTAAGAATGAGACTTTAGGGTTACCTTCATTTTAAGATCTATGAAAACATGTTGGTCAGAAATACTGAAAAACAGTAATTAAATATTAGGAAATAGAGAAGGATGTAAGTTGTTAGCCTATTATAAAAGACAGTTATGCCTTTTAATTCTGCATGTAGTTCTGGTCTTCTTGTCTCAGAGACTATAGTGAAGCTGAAGAAGGTCCAAAGAGATGCAACAAGAAACATCCAATTGTAGGTCCTTTAAGATGGAGCGTTGACCACACACAAAGGGCAGACTCCGTAGATTTGGACTCTTAATCCAGTCAAGAGTTATCTACAGAAATACAGGTGGCAAAGTGAGGGTGGCTTCTTATTGCCCACTCCAACATGAAAGCTAAGAGACATCAAAGGAAGGTAGGAGGTGGCAGATTCGGAACAAAACAGAGACAATACTGTTAAGATGTGGCAATTCTTGTAACACGCACTGGATACTGGGGGATGTATCATTATATATCTGCAGTGAATTTGTACTCTCTTCCCGAAATATGACCTCTTAGATAATTTTTTTTTTTCCAGGGAAATATTTGTTTTATTATTATTTTTCCTAAAGGCTCACAGATGATGCAGTGCAGGAGTTTCTGGCTGTATGTTGCCATCCTCTTGGCAGCTTCTTGAGTTTGTCCCGCAAAAGCTGCCTTTTCCTGCTGGAGCCAGCCGTTGCCAGTGTTGGAAGCTGTGTCTGCAAATATCTTGGCTGGCTTCTTCTGGCTTACTGCCCAGTCTGCACATTGCTGCAAAGTGGGGTCCCTGTGAGGAAGCCAAATAGCTTGTTTCAGAATGATGAAGCGATTGATCACTTGGCCACTGCAGACAAACATCCTAGTTAGGAAATGCTGGTCGAACTGGTAACACTACGCTGTTTTTGAAAAGCTTCATGTCCTTGATGTGCTTGATCTCATTTGTCCTGCTGATCTTTTAGATTTCTGTCTGGTAATGGCATCCCACCAGTGCACCTTAGGATACTGTAAAATCTATGAAGAGAAAGGCACAGATGGAGGCCACTTTGCATGCTTTCTTCTTAGTTGAGTGGGACAGTTTTTTGGTGTTCTGCTGATTGGTAACACAATTTAATCATGGTCAGATTATTTCATCACTCCAGTTTCTCTTATGCCCAGTCCTCTCTTTTAAGACATTTTCACATTCAGCTAGCTATTGGACAATATGACTGCTTCTTATAGACACAAGTGCTTCAGGATATGATTCTTACAATCCATCATTGTTCACTACAAAGAGTAAATCAGGGTTTTGAAATCATACCCTGCTGCTGTTTATAAGGTAGTTTTCACATGGCTATACAATTGTCTTCCAGAAAACTTTCCTCATACTTTCCTTGAAGTTACTTTAATTCTAGTTTCAAATCACTGGTTATCAGGATCGTGCTAGTGCATTTACTTTCTCTGGTATGTTCAGATTAATCACAGAGTTACTATATACAACCAATCCTCAGTTTTGCTTGTAGTTAATTCTGCAAAAATTAAGTTTGTTGTCTGCATTTTCAAATTGAAGTTGGATCAATGCAAATGCATGTTTTTGAATAAAAGCAAAGCATACTGGATGTCTTCATACAGTGCTGTGCTGAGCAAGTAACCCCAGCCAGACCAGTTAGTCAGCTAGAGCAACTGAGCATGTGTGCTCTGCCCTCAGAAGGCTTTGTATTCTAAGGGTTTTGTCAGCTTGTGTGCAGTATGGCACGAATGCACAGGGCAAGTCTTACTCTAATGCTGAACATGAGTCACTAAGCCCTTTTCAGAACACATGCAGCTGGCAGCATATCACGATGCTGTAATGTTTGTAAACCCCACAGGCTTTTGAATTAGCCAGGAAGTGTCTCTATTTTCATACATGCTTTAAATCTACCATGGGGACTCACCTTTTTGGGTGGAGGCTGGGATATACTTTATAGAAAACAGATTAATTCTGAAGAACTCACAGTAGAAAAAAAAAAATCAAATCCACAAAAGAAAACAGAAGAAATAATGATGTGGCTTTTTCACTCTGAGTAAATATAGAAGTTAAGCTACTGGCAGCATCATGTTGAAGAGGTGTAAATACTGTGGTTCTTGTCTGGATAGCTTTAGCATGGTGATGGCATTTGCCAAACCATTCAGTACAGTTACTGGAGATCATGTTCTACAATATGAGGTTAAAGCACTTAATTGCAACCTAATGACCAACTACTGCTGTGGGAAACTGTACCTTGTCTCTACTCAACAGATTGCTGCTTTGACTACCATCAGTTGGAGCACATCTCCCCACAATAAACCCTCCCCCTTTTTTTTCTTCTCTAGTGACTTTGATCAGTGCTTTCTTTGACTATATGCACAAATGTCCTTTCTCTTCTTACCTGGAGTGCTAAAATTTCCTTTGTTTTTTTTTTTTTTATGGGAGTAAAGACTATTGACTTCAGCTAGTTGGCTAGTTTAGCAAAGAGACTAACAAATTTTTGGAAAGTGTCAGCATAAATGATAATTTTCATGCAGTTTCAAATTTCATGCAAACAAAAAATAGTTTTTTTTGGGAAAATTTTGTGCACAAGCATTTAAGATCTACCTACTTCTTCTGTTCTTACTTTTTTTGTTAGTTAAGAAGACTGTAAGGATTGTTACATGCCAGACCAATCTACTGGTTGGCTTTATAGCCTGAATTGGTTTCTGACTTCTCATTTAACATTCTCCCATAGTTCCTAATGGGAACCGATACTTACTCCTTTTTGCTATCTGACCATTCTTCTTTCTGTACTTGTCTTCTTTTTGGAAAGTGCAAATGCAGTTACGTGGAAACACCTCAGTGCTCTCGTGGTGTAAGCAAACACACCTATGGCTTTTCTTTTAGTGTATTTTTCTTAACCAACACAAAGTCTCACAAACCATTCAGCCGACAATGCTGGTTTTGAGAAGCGAAGTGCTGGAAGATAATGGAAGGCCATAGAAGTGCTAGGCCATCTTCGCCTTGTGTCTGGTATCCAAAATAAGATGTCACATTGTCAAATCTTAGCTCCCAAATGTAGTCCCTGCCCTGCAAGTGCTGTCAAAAGCAAGCCTGGGGAGTTTGCCCAAACAGGATGTGGGCCAGCCCTTAACACTTAACACCAGCACTTAACACTGCTACTGTACCAGCTTCTGTCAACTTATGTGCTCAGCACAGGGTATATGTAGGCTGCCTGCAGCTTAGGGGCCATCTTTAGTGTCCATGAGGCAAGTAGCACCACATCTGGATTGAGACCTGTCAAAAGAGATGAGCTTTAACACTTAGAGCAGCAGGATGAGGAGGACAAAGATAGAACTGCAAGGTGACTCCAGTTGTATGTTGTCCTTAAGTTCTGTTTATGTTGCAGTATAATTTAAGTGCAGTCCTTCAGCTCCAGAATCACAAAAAGCTAAAGATTTTGTGCTAATTAGTATCTCTGGAGTCACACAGCTCTCTAATACTTACCTAGAGATTAAAGACATTTCATGTCTAGCATATTTTAATATCAAGAAAGAATTAATGTTGTAATTTCCATAATTAAGGTCTTGAAATTAGTATTTAGAAAGGCCAATTTTTGTATGACGTTTCCTCTCTAACAGTATAATCAAAGTTCCGGTAGCTGGCCAAGATGCAAAAGTTGTTTGTAGGTCATTGTAGGATTTCCCTAGCTGGATGGCAGGGACTCACAAGACCCACTGCCTATGTTTCTACACATGATAATTCCCATGTATGGGTGATGAAGAAAATAATGTGAAAAGAAGAAAACCACAAACACAGTTTGTGGGAAAAACAAAAAAGAAATTGTAAAGCTCATTTTCTTACACAGAAGTTTGAATACTGGTCAGAGAGCATGACAAAATACATTAGAATGGCTAAAACAGTTTATGCTGTGATTTGAAATAAAAATCTTGATTGTTTTAACCTCTACATACCATTACCATGGTGGTTAATTGTTATTATTCCAAGATATGGTTTAAATGGAGCAATGCACAGCATAGAACAGAGCCAGTTTTCTGCCACATCTGCACTGAGCAATGGTTTTTATATCGGTAATACCCAAGATATTCATGGCTAGGTTTCTTCAAATCTCTTTTTATATTTGTCTAGTATTTCCAGTTGCATAAACAATTTTCTTTCACATTGCTGTTACTAGTCTCCTTTAGAAATTTCGTATTTTCACTGTAAATGCTGCCTTGTATTTGTCTGTAATTCCTAGATATGTAATAACTCTTTTCATTAAAATAAGCCATGTTCTACATAACTTATCAGAGACGTGTTAATTCTTCTCTCCTGCTACTTCTGTGTTTTACAGTATTGGTACAGTAAACACAGGCATTCATGAATTTAACTTAATGCCATCCTGCTGTGAAACAGTGAGATTACAGGTGTGAATATTAGGGTCTGGAATAAAGAAATACGATCAGCAAGTTATGTTCATGTTTTTTCTGAAAGATTAGTCTCTGGAGTACCTTTGAACATCATACTGGCATGCCCACCTTCCTTCTACCTTTGTAAGTCCTATGGAGGGAGTATTTAGGTTGTTGTAAGGCTAAGAGTTTGGTCTTAAAAGCAGTCTCAGGGATTTCTTCTGTAATTATTGACGAACTACCAATCTGGTTTACTGTAGCAGTCAAAATTTGAACACAGAGTTCTGTGCTGATGTTCCCAAGTCCTCCAGCAGTACTGTGGACAAATATTTTGACTTCATGAATGGAGCTGATGGAATCATGTTTGACCCATGCATTCCAAGGAGCAAGATACTATATGACACCAATATGATTTTAATCACAGATGAAACATGAAATTACCAGAATACATAATCCGGAAAGGGCTGAGTATTCCCAGTATCAAAAGGAGAAAGAACACTATGAAAAAAAAATCCAAACTCTATCAAATTTCACACAATGTAGGACAAGGGCTGTTTGCAACTGCTACACAATTTAAACAGAAAAAAAAAAAGCATTCTCCAGCTTTTACTGGTACAATTGTAAATTCCCCCAAATACTTGCACAATTGTAAAATCCCCAAAATACTACTTCCATTTTGTCTCCTGGGAGATAAGTTTGAGAAAGCTCACCCTGTATTTTCACTTTGCTTGTGATACTGCACATTAGGAGAGGCTCTAGATACCATTTGCTATTTCCCTTCCTCTTGTCCACTTCCCTCACCTGAAATACCCTCTTAAAACACTATTTTCTTTTTGATGTTCAAACAACAACACTAAACAATTGAAATTTTAAATAATGATTGAGGATTTTTTTTATTCATTTAAGTTTCAGTATCATTACAGAAAATGTTATGGTACAGAGTTGTTTAACATCAGTTTTATTTCTTTGCTCATTTAATTTCCACACGAATGCTGGTAACACTAATATCTGTACAAGATCAGTCTTTGATTTTTTTTTTGTTTTTGTTTTTAGTTCTGTACATTTTTAAATGTATTGGTTAAAAAGGCTGTCAGCACTTAAGGAAGCAATTTTTTGATTGCTGAAATAAAAGGTATCCAGTTACTGCCCAAGAGTACTGAGCTGGGTGGCTGCTGGGACAAGAGAGATCCCTGAATGCACAGCGAGGTGAGGAAACCTCGGGGCTTCATTGGATTCCCAGTGCAGCCACTCTGCTTTTGGCACTGTGCACATCAACACGAGATACAAGATAAAGAACAAGCAGAAGCTCTCTGTGAAGCGGTTATGAAGCATACTGATAAGGGAAATCCAAGTGTCGTCTACGCTAGTATAAATAAGCAGACAGCCTTGTTTTAAGCGCATAAGTAGTTGTATCTTAAAGATGAGAAAAAACACAAGTTCTGCAGGCACCTACTGCTGTCTACTAAAAGCTACCGCTATTAGAACTAGCATTGAACACACAAAGCAATTGCAAGGAAAGGAAAAAGTTGCTTTGATATAATCAGAATAAATTTCTTTGTTAAGATTTCTTTTTAAAGTTTTTTTTTTTTTTTAAAAGGTATTTATTTAAATTCCATTTGAAATATAATTCAAGATGTTGACTATACTGATCAACTTTTATCCAAATCAGAAAAACTAGCTGTGCCGTTGCATATTACAGGATACAGTCAATGATATGTGGACATGCATCAAAGCTTCGCTCTTGCTGGTGACATCATAGCCTTCCAATGACCATGACATCCACCACCTCCCCCTTGTGAAGCTCCACATACTGCTCTGTCTTTGGAGGTAGCATCAACAGTCCATTGGCACTGCGCATACTCATCAGACGGCTGCTCATCTGATTCCCTACAGAAGGGTGAGAGAAAAAGTTCAGTTAATTTTTCAGTTAGTTAATTTCAAATGCCGCAACACACAAGACAGGAAGCAAGAGCTGTTCTTATAAAGATATGCTAACATATTCATGGAGCTTCAATATATCTGTTTAAAGGTGGGTAGAAACAATTATGAAGAGATTAATCAGCTTTGCATTGTTCTGGTTTTGAAAACTCCCTTTCCTTTGCTGATTGCTTTCCTATCCAGCCTTCCATATTTTTTTCTGTTAGATCTTTACCTGTACTTCATTTTTGTTGTTGTAAATTACTTTAATGTTGGAGATTCTAATCCTATCATAATTACTTTATTTTTTCAATTTGTATATCTAGTTCAGATTGTATGGAGGCTAAAACCACCACAATCTGAATTTTTTTTTTTAAATATACCAACTCAAAAGAATAGGTTTCTCTGGGATACAAGCTATATAGGAGACCTTGGAGATAAACAGTGTAGTATTGGCTGTACTGCCAAAAAATGAAAATGCAGTAGAAAATCATGCACCTTATTTTCTTGGCTTTCAAACTTTTGGATTGACAGATAAGTCATTCCAGTCTGCTTGAGCAAGGAAAGAAGTGATGTGCTACAAAACAGATAAAATATTCAAATATAGAATTTATCTCAACTGCAGCTGAATATCCAAAAATATCCCTAGATTGAAAACATGATTAATAAACGTCTTAGTCTGCACTAAGAGAACATATACAGCTGTTTCTTCTCCAGTTCAGTTAGAATCACAGTTCGTTATCTGAATTGTTGCTATGGTTCAACTTGTGTTTATTTAGTACAAAGAAAGTAAAGGTGCCTCTGAGTGCAAATAAGCACAGATGAGTATTTACAAAAAGCACACAATGTATGTGTGTGTGTGCAAAGGTGGATTATTCCGATAAAGTTTTAAGAATTAAGTTGGTAAGACACAGCATGAATTTCAATATCATGACTGGGTAGCACGACTGTATACATGGATGTTCACAAGTCAGAAAATCAGTCTGCATGACAAAACTTGTATGAAAATACATGTGCATGTGGGTTTGTTGGTTCTTTTGTTCTTTGTTTCTTCTAAAGCATGTATGGCAGACTGACAGGGCCTGCGAGTGCATCTGTCAGTTTGTGTAACTGGGCACTAACCTGTACTCTGTGCCCAAGGTAGTGGTTCTTGGTGATGCCAAGTCAGTATGCACCGATGGTATTCTGGGCGGGGGTCCAATTTTACATCACATGATAACTGTAGAAGAAGCAAAGAAAGAATGAAAATGTCATGTATTCAGATATCACTAAGATAATAGAATCATCTCTTCAATCTTTCTTCCTTAATAACAGTCTTTTAAAAAACTTGCATTTCTAGGCCACATGGTGTCTACAGCAAGATCAAAGGCTGTAGTAGGTAGAGACTGCACTATTTAAGAGAGATACAACTATGATATTACAATATCAAAGAGTATGCCGGAGTCTGCATGCATTAAGTGGAATATTCCAAAGCTGTTCTTTTACTGGGAGTTCAAAGATACTACTATCTCTCTGGAAGAAAAGCTTTATCATTTCTAGTCTCTGGGTCACATTTTGTACAGATAAAAAATTTATTCACATTCAAAGCACTGCTAGTCCTGACAAAAAGGAAATGACCAATATTTGAAATGAAAAGACGTACAGGAGATTGCTCAAAATGAAATTTAATGGAAGCACACAGGAAAATATATGCAAACATGAGGGTCATGTTGGAGCATCGCATTCCTCAAAACTGGAATGCTACAAATTGCTGTCTGTCTTACAACACTTTAGCCATGAGATAAAGAAAAAGATGGACTACTGAGGAAGCATGTAAGAGAGACACAAGGGATAAGCAGTAAGAGAAAAGTTTCTGGAATGCCAGGAACAGTAGAAAAAGTGTAAAAGGTAATCTGTTTTTTGGTATCTTCTTTAAAACAAAAATAGGAGAATAATACATTATTTAATACAGGTTTAAGACTGGTTATTAAAGAGCTACTACATCCACCATTTCTTATGAGAGTCGCATTAATTGTTTAAAGAATTCATATTGCTTAGGTGGGGTATATGGATTACTTACATAAACAATCTGCTCAAGAGCAGAGAGACTTTCATGTTTGTAGTTTTTGATACTGAACTATCTTATTCCTTAAGTATTTCCAGGTTACTCTCTATTTTTTATTCTTTTTTAACCACACATTAAAACAAATGTATGTTTTTTACAGTGAAGTGTCCTCCCTTCCTGACTAGCAAATGGCTGCGTATGTTATCTGTAAATCTTACTCCACTACTTGGCCACTCACTTTTAGAAATCATGGGACTGCATATTAACATCAACAGATTCAAGTCTATGCCTCTGTTGTCTGTGAAATTCCTTCAACTTGTCAGAATTGACCTAGCGTTCAGATCCCTCAAACTTTTGAGCTCAAACAGTAGTGTTTCAACAACTTGAGAGAACTTTCAAACACAGGACAAGCTTCTTACCCTGGCTTTGATAATGGTGGGCCGAGGATCCAGGATACCCTGCATTTTCCTCAGTGCAGGAACAACAAAGAGATTGCAGGTGACAACAGCTGACACAGGATTGCCTGTAGGACAAAGAATGGTAGTGAAAGAAAGAAAGAAAGAATGGTGGTGAAACCCTCTTGATTTACTCTGTGAAAGCAATACCCTACTTTTATAATAATCATACCCTAGAGATTCTGAAGAACTTTCTATGCTGCATACAACTGTCCACTTACGTCTGGGGTGGCATGTGGCAAGTAAAACTCCTCAAAGCTATACTCTGTGGCTAATAATGGTGTCCTGAAATTCAGCTCTGATCACAGCTGCTTTGTGTTCCTCATGCCCCACCATTTGCTTCTGTTCTCCTGCCACCTTTCTTATTACATCTAGATTTATCTGAGGTGGGGCCAGCACTTATTGTGCAGAGGTATAAGTCCAAGCTCATATGCATATGAACTCATGATTTTCAATTCAAGGTTTCCAAGACAAATGGAAAAATAGGTATTATTAAGTGACTTTCTATTCCCTAACAGAGTTGCAAGAAGCTTCAACATGATTGTGGAGGAGAATTCTACTGCTTTATATGTTGACTAAGAAGAGAGGTGTATGACTAAACTTCTGTCAAACACCTCTTGTCTTACACATCTAGTCTTCTCTAAAAGGCAGTTCTAATGTAAATAATATGAAAGAGAGAGATGTTCCATTATCTCTGACCTGGTGAACACACATTGAAGCAGGAGAGAGAAACATGAGATAAAAAAACAGTAGAGACATCTGAACATCACTAGCTAACCAAGAAAAGGATTCCTCGTTGTCAGAAATCAATGCAAAGCCAAAGCAAAAGAATAAAATTAAGGAGGACAGAGATTTGTAGGTGGATTCCCAAATAAATATTTATTCTGAACTCACTGATTTCCTCCAGCATGCAGGAGGTGAAGCACTGCTGCCCTCTCATGTTCCAAAGTGTGAACATGACTAACAACTTCCATTCTGTGACATATTCCTAGGCACTCTCTACTAGATCTCATCTCCACTTTCAATACTTTAGAGTGGATGTGCTGACATTCAAAGAATCTTCATCTGTAACGTGGAGGGAGCTGTGGGAAAAATCACCCCTGCATAGCATGTTAACAAAAGCCAAGGAAATTGTTGGATGGAAAAAATCATAAGGCTTGTAACCCAACCAGCACATTCCGAGGACAAGAGTAAGAACACCAGACAAGGGTGTTGTGAAACATCACTATTCTGTTTCAGATCTTGTCATCTGTGCACAGCAACAAAAGTAATCCACAAAACATCTTACCTGGGAGTGCAAAGATTATTTTTCTTACACCATCAATATCCAGAGTTGCAAAAGTTGTTGGCAGGCTATGGAAAAGGAAAATTTATGATCTGCATTGGAATTTGACTGAACGTATTACATTATTATTTAAAATATTTAGAAAATAAAACAAATGGTCATTTTGCTTCTGTTGAGAAAATATCCAAGAGTAGATGAATTAATATGCAAAAAAAATCAAATTCTATCTTACTGTCAGAAGCCAAATCAACCAATAAGTTATACCAAAATTAAGCTGTTACAGAGCTGTATTTGTTTTTTATATAAGGCTCTCATTTTTTTCTTTTTTTTGGTAACATTAGTGACTTCCATTCCCCTTACTCTAGTGTTTATAGCAGGATTAACAATGGGACAATATTTCAGAGCAAATAGTCCACAGATGAACAAATTCAGATACACAGGCAGTACTGCTCCTGAATATAATCTCCATCCAAGCTACCTCATTAAAAAGATTTCTTACCCTGGTTTCATAAAAACTCTGCCAAAGTGAATCTGTGCATGAAGATCAATATCCAGCACCTGTTTAAGATAGTCCTGTTTAAATTATAAAAAAGAAAATCAATTAAGTAACATCAAAGTGGCTTACATCATCTAAGTGTTCAAAGCAATTAACTGATCTCTAGTGAAGATGAAAGACTTGCTATATCCTGAAAGTGCTACAGTCCAATTGGGAATTTCCAATATTTGAAATAAAGTATTTTCAAAAATAAGACGTGAAGAACAGACTCATTTCTGGTGCCAAACCTGACTCTACAAGGACATAGTAATATATCTACTTAAAAGTCAGCTGCAGCAATAGAATCTTTAAGGACCCGACCAAGAGGCTACTAAAACATTCTGTCTATCAAAGATGGAAAAAAAAAAAAAAAAAAGCCTTTATGATTCAAAGTTCAGCCTTAAAATGATCAGGTTATTTAACTTTTTACCACAGAAGCTGTCCAGTGGCAGAGTAAGAGATCTCCTAGTACTTCTGAATTCAAGACTGCACTGTAGAAATCATAATTTTCCAGGATACTGTAATTACTGTAATTTCTTGGGGATGTGGCATAATAGGTTTAACTATCCTAAGTTTCTTAGAAAGGAAAAACTGTGGATAGCTTTTACAGTAGTTCAAAAACAGTTTTACATAAATACTATTGATCCAGTTAAGAAAACTGGAATTACATATTTAGTCTTCATCGAAAATTGCTATGCTCAAAGATTCAGTGCACTATCTGTTGTGTTTAGTGAGACTTAAGACACAGGACATAACAATCACCTGTTAAGACAGACTTTGGAAGCAGAAAATCTGAAATTCCCATTTTCTCTCTCGTTTTTTTTTTTTTTTTTGGTTCAAATACTTGGAAAGCAGCAACTTTTTTTTTCAGCCAGGCGTAATTCTCAGTTACTGATTGCATTAACCACATTTTCATTTGCTATTTAGTTTTCGGATGCTCACAGTTATTTCATTAAAAGTCTTGAATGCTCAGTATCAGAGGAAGAACTGTCAGAGGAATGTAGGGCCCATTGACTTTATGCAGTTGCCTAAAATTCAGGCGAGGGAGAAGTTAGCCAGAATGCGTAAATGCCTGTGAGACCATTCACCAGCGTAGTTTCTTTCTGGAGTTCCCATGTCTGTACTAGGTCACCACACTCCCAATTTAAAGACCAGCACTTGGCCTTTGACATTTTTCTAGGAATACTGAGAGGAATAATGGAATTGAAAGTAATTGGCACTGGTTTAATTTGTTAATCATTTCCATGATGTATCCAACAATATGATTTCTACTCAGAAAAGTGACAAAAACAGCACTCATGTTTGTCATCTCCTAATGGCTGACTTTAGTATCTGTAATTTATAAAAGGAGAGATGTTTCTTTTACCTGCCAAACTCACAGATTCAGTCTGGGATCAAAAAGTAATCTGAGTTTTCCTTCGCATAAGTCATGATTAATAAATGTCCTGCAGGTTCATCTACGCCCCACCAGCATCTGTGTATCCCTATTTTCTTTGATGGTTTTGGCACAGGGATTACCAACAGGAACTCAATCAACAATTCTGTTAATGATTCAAAAGGCAAATATATCAGCTCACTGTGTCTCATATGTATTGCCTCTGTAGGACTATCAGGAGTAAAATGTGACAAAACTATTTTTGTAACAGATACAGCTCTGGCACAAATAGGAAACAGATATACTGAATAAGAAAGAACTATTTATATACTTAGCTGCTTTTCAAAGTACTTGCAAAGTAGCTTTATTCTACCTACATTTTACCTGCACTAAGAGTAGAAAGAAGTCTCTTGTCTTCATGTGCTATTAACCTATTGCCTTTGTCATCATAACTATATAAATAATTCCTTACTTAAAAAAATGCAAATCACTTACATCAAGAACAAGAATCTTCCCTTTTGTTCTATGCATACTATAGTACGGTAATAAGAACAAATTAAATGAAGATAGTATTCAAGGCTATTTTCTTAATTATTCACACATAGATGTTCTCTCCCCGCCCCTCCCCCCCTCCCCACAAAAAAAAGAAGGAAAGAAAGAAGAAAAGAAAGAAGAAAAGAAAGAAGAAAAGAAAGTAGGAAAGGAAGAAAGGAAGGAAGAAAGGAAGGAAGAAAAAGAGAAAGAAAGAAAGAAAAAAAGAAAAAAAAAAGAAAATGGCCCCTTTTTAGAAAACTTTAATACAAAAGCAGAAGCTCTGATGACAGACTCTGGTTTGAAATTCTTATAAATATTATAGTAAGTCATACTTAAATTTAGCATACCTTTTCTCCCATAGACACCCCTCCTGATGTAATGATCACATCAGCACGGCTGATACCTTCATTCAGTGCATTCAGTAAATCATCTGGGCTACAGAAAAGAAGAGGTAAGCAGATTAGTGGCACACAGCTACTATGAGTTACAGTGTGTAAGCATCTCTGTGCACAGATATAGGTGTATATACACACACCCACGTTAAAAAGGAAACACAACTAAAATAATACTGAGATCTTATCCTTCTGAAGACTCCACACTGCTCTATTCAACTCATGAAGCACAGCTGTATTAAGCAGACACCACAAAGGTTGCCCTCTTTCTACCTAAGAGCTTTGTATAATGAATGGAGGGATAGCATAGGTTGGGATTGAAGAACGCCAATACAAATCTATGAAAGCATGCCATTTACACAGCTGGTAGCAATACAAATTATGATTTAGGTCAACTGACAGATCTATGCAGAGGGACCTGACTATGAAAATTACTGGCCACCAAGCAGGCTGCAGTACTACCTAACTTATTTAATGTAAAAATGAGGGTAAGGCTCTACTTCAAACCTCCATCAGTGCAAATTGGGAGTAAATCCTTTGTTTATCTCCTCCACTTGAGGGCTCTGCAGTAAAGGCAATTGTGCATCTACTTCATCTTGACAAACCATCACCTGCCTTGTTCAAGTATGTGTTCTTCATGAGAAACAGTAAGCAGGGAGCTGTCATGTTTCTTCATAATAAGAGTATAATTGCGAAGATGAAGGATAGAAACTAAGTGCAACACTTTCAGTGTCTTAAAACCCTTTTTTTAAAATCTAAACTGAAACTGTAGTTTTCAAGTTACCATTACCTATCTGATAAGAGTGCTGTGCTAACAGGGAGCTTAAAGGCATGTGGGGAGAAACTCTGTAGCACAAACTATACAAGAAGGCTGAGGGACACCAACAAGACATTAAATGTGTACTTTACATTTAACATTTGTAAACTGATCAGAAGCTAACCTATTGCTAGGACTGCATGTCATGTTCCTTCAAAAGCATCAAATAGCACAGATCCTGAAAACAGTTTTTATGAGAGGCTATTCCTTATGTGAATGCTGTTCACTTAACTGGCTGTAATACAAATGACTGTACAAAGGAATTAATCTGGAGTACGTTGTCTCAGTTATCACATTACAAATTACACTTATGTGTTATCAAGACTTTTCAGGCTGCAAATGGCATGTATGCTATACTTGGTTAACTTCTGCTATATGTCAATACAAAATAGAATCACCACAGTTCTTTCGGAGACTGAATTGGAAACAGGAAACAGTTATACAGTACTTTGCATATCTTGGTGCTGCATGCACAACATTTTATGTGATACAAGAATAACTCTCTCACTGAGTAAATAACTCAAGTGCATGCAAACCTGCACACTCACCTATTCACCAGAGAACTCATAAGCTTTTTCCACCTTTATCATCTTACAGGCAGAAAGACTTCAGAACCTGTTCTCCACCATTTCCAATAAGTTATGCAGCCTTCTGATTGGCATCACATGTGATTATGCTGCACAGCTTTTCTATGTAGTAGGGAAGCTCTGAAAATAATTGCTCCTGTTTTATGACATCAGCCTACAATATCAGGTGTCAGTAATGTAGCAGTAGGGTTGAAACTTCCCACCAATACTCTATTGCATTTTATTGCTGTGAGACAGATGGCAGCAGAGGGACAATCTGACTAAATGGTGTCTAACATGGAAGTGTGTATGAATCAAAGGTCCAAATAGAGGAGGTGAATTCCTCTATTTGGAAAAAAATGGCACCCACTGACATTCACTGATGCATGCTGAACATCTGTGGAGCCCAAACAGTAGATGTGAGCACAGTGAGGTGGTGGGCAGAGCTGGTGGCAGTGACAGTGGGTCACCTCTGCTGGTGCAGATTTTGAGGTATGGAGCATGCAGGCTTTTGTTCATCACTGCTGAAAATGCACAGCTAATGGTAGAGACTGTGTTGAACAAGAGTGTTTTGTAGCTTAGAATCTGCTCTATCAAATAGCACTATTGTTCTCTTTGTACCTGTTGAAGTTTCCATGAAAATAAATAGGAGACATTACTTTTGGAGCAAGCTATGTATGTATGTATCCACTCCTTAGGTATATCTCTTTCTAAGAGGTAGGCAACAAGCTACAGTAGAAGGAAAGGCAAATTACTAGTGCTATAGTGTTGTCTGTAATCAGTCAGCTATAATGAAATACTGCCATTTTTTAAAGGAAGGAGTGACTATACAGATCGTGGCATGACTCCAGGATTTGTATAATGTGTTAAATGGAAAGCTGTTTTAGGTTTCTGCATATCTTGGATGCTCTAACTAGCCTTTAAAGTAATGGCTGAACTCCATTTTCTTTGGGGGAAACATGAAGCATACAAAAACAAAGCCATCTTCTTTGTTCTTTATGAAGCAGAAACATTTTCTCAGTTGCCCTTACTGAAATTTCAGGATCATTTCATCCAAAACCAGCACAAATCTTCACTAGTTATCAAGGGCAATAAGAAAAAGACAAGTCTCTTGTTGGCTACTGTTGGTGTCCTCTTCTGAACTAATTGTTTCATACTGATGGTCTAGGAAGTACTCAGCATATGGTAAGATGTTGCTTAAGATTACTACAGAGTTTGTAATAGGAAAGGTCTATCAATAATCCAAGTCTTCCTTAATCCTTGACAATGATGGGGCAGGCTGGTACGCTCCAAGGAACACACATTCTTTATACAGGTGGATATAGGCCTTCCTTAAACACAATGACAGCCAGATGCTCATGGCATTAGTCTTAGGTTAAGACTGTTTTAAGTTTAGTTTCCTCACTACATTGTGATGCATGTGAGAATCTTACCTGGAGTTTGCTTCAGGCTGTTTCATTTGATCTTGCTTAATTATTTAAAGGTTATTCATAGGAAGCAAAGACCACTTTTTTGAGGAGATCCTAATTCTGAAGTATGAAGCGTACTTGCTTCTGGTTGTGGTTTGAGAACAGCAAAAGGAACAGTATAAAGCAAACAAGTCTGTATTTAACTGCTGTTAAATAGAATGGAAGGGCTCCATATATACTGAATATGTACTGAATTATAAATTTATAAAATATAAAATTACTTACCAAAGGAAGAAACTAAAACAGTATAAGCCCAATCTCAAATCAGATGAAGGTTTTGTTTATGAAAGTAGCATACCACTGGAGTAGTTAATCATAGGGTTTTTCTTAGTTACATGCCATATAAAACTGAAGATTACTGGACTTAATTTTATTTATTTATTTATTTATTTATTGCATTTCCAGTAGAATGTCCTGTATAGTAGATCTCTTTCTTTACCACATGTGAAATGTGAAAAACATTTCTAAAATCTACTGCTACTTCCAACCTATAGCACTGTCTATTCTCTTTAGTTTGTTGCAAATTCAAATGGATTCTTCCAAATGAAAGATAAGAAATGAATGATTATGCTAGTTTTTGTTGTTGTTTTTTCCCCCAAAAATACATACAGAGAATTTCCTCTCTTGTCTCTGCAAGAAGCATCTCTCTTTTTCTGTATTTGGCACAATTTTCTTGTTTCTTTATATCCTTTATATCCTACTTGAGGCTGGTATTTTTACTTCCTCTGCAGTTAATAATACAAGGCACGCTCTTGAGTGGAGTAGTCTTCAGTCAACACAGTAGCAAACATTTTCCTTGTATTAGTGGAGTTAATGGAGGGAATTATCATTCAAATTGCACACTAACAAATACCTGATAGTCAGATAAAAAGATATGACTTCTCAGTTCATTTGTTGCATAAAAAATGAGCAGCTCTCCATATTGACATGGAAATGGAATAAACGGAAGACTATTAACTTCTGGAAGAACAGAAAAAATAATTTTGGTATCTGAGCATAACATGACAAGATTGTTCTAATGGGCTTGTGACAAATCACCACAAAGCTGAGAAGCAACACTCACTATGCAGAAGCTTTCTTCTGAAACCCTGGCCATTACTAGGGCCAGGATACTGGACTAGCTAGACTAATGGTCTAATTTACTACAATAAATCCTTAAAAATGTCTTTTGAAAGTGCTATTCTTGTATTATTATTTTTTCCCCCCGTGGACAGGACTGAAACAGGTGCTCAAATATAACAGTGAATGCCTTAATCAGTGTAAAGGAGGTTTGATGGGAAGTCTCATTTCCAGATGGCAAAATTCTTCTGTTTCATTTGGTGATTTTCAAAGTCGGAGTGACATTGTGCAAGAGAAGAGCGTGCGCTTCTCTAACATGATGGAATTGATTAAAGAAACTATACTCTGTGTGCTTCAGATTACATCCCAGCATCTTCTGTAAATGCAACTAAGAAAATTGTTCTATAAGGTGACCTGCAGTTTATGAATCTATTCATATAGGTAAGTAAGTACAAACCCAAACTGTCTCTCAAAAAAGGAAGAAATCTCCATCTAGAGCAGATTGTGTCTGCACAAGTATATGAGTACTATTTGTAGGTTGTTCTGAAATTAACGCCTCCTAACTACAGTGATACAAAGAGCACAATAACACTACTTGATACAGCAAATTCTCAGCTACAAAATACTACTTTTCAACAGTGACCACCATTACCTATGCATGTTTGCCAGCAATAAACAAGAACCTGCATGCTGCTCTCATAAAAATCTGCATTGCCATCCAGAATGCAGCTTGTCTAACTGTGCTTAGATCTACTGTTTGGTCTCCATGAATGTTCAGCATGCTTCAATGAATGTCAATGGGTGCCATTTTTTTCCAGATGGAGGAATTCATTGCAACACCTTTGCCTCATCCACACTTCCATGTCAGTCACTATTTGGTCAGACTGCCCCTCTGCTACCATCTGTTTCACAGCAACAAAATGTAATGGAATATTGGTGGGAGATTTCAACCTCTACTGCCATACCACCACCATCTGCCTCTGACATAGTGAGCCAACACCATAAAATAGGAGGCATTACTTTCAGAGCAGCCTTCATACACACATTTTTGAAGCTGCAGACATAAAGATTTACATAAAAAGCTCATGTACTATTAAATATATCTTAATGTACTATTAAATGTATTTAATAC